CACGACATCCGCGGTCCATATTTAAGAGCATTTCTCTCGACTTTACGACGCGCCTCGAACACTTCGCGCCGTCGAAAAAGAGCCGTCGGGACGAAAACCTCGACGGACGACCCGTGTTTTCATGCAAAAGTGAACTTTTACTTTTCATGAAGCGGGTTCGGTTGTAACCGGCCGATATAAATATCTTTCGCTTCCTTAATAAATTTTAATTCCCTCGTTTAATTGTTCATAAACCGCCCGCGAATTCGCCCAAGTAATATGAGCGGATCCATACAAAGAAGGATATTAACAGCCTATCGTACGTTATTCCCGAATGTATAAACGGCGATATAATTAAAAAATTTGTCGTAAAAAAATGGGGAAAGAATTACTCTCCGCGCGGTTGACAAATGTAGAATGTTGCGCAATGTGTTATCGAAATTGCGACATGAAGGGCTGGTTGCTGCTAAAGTCGCATTAACCTTCTGACAATTGCTGGTTTTTGCATCTTACGATCGTGTCGTGCACACGGTGACATATCATCAAAATATATGACTTAATCTCTTGCGTAATGAGAAAAATAAGTAAGTTGCGGGAGACCGAGAGGATGTGCCGGTTCGTCCAATAAAAAAATCTGGCTGCTGTCGCGATGATTTATTTCCAAAAAGCGTTTTAAAAACAATTCAATGTAAGATTCGACAACTGCACACAACATCATATAAATTTTTTCTTTTACGACTTTCTTTTATAACTTTCCTAAGACGATATCTCGGAAATTAAATGCGCCACAGCGTTTTAATGCACTCATTCGGTATTTGGAGTAAGTATAGCGCACACTCGCTCGCGATCTCTCGCGTGCTCCAGACAGAGAGCCGTGTAACCGCCGTCGGATATATATTTTCAACACTTCGAAGTGCGGCGAATTACTTTTTTCGTGTTTGCCTCTACGCGCAAAGACGCAGTGCGCATCGACAGAGGATAAAAATCGCAGTCGCCATTAAAGTCACCCCGTATTTCCTGTGATTTACGACCGCACGCAACGCTCGGAGCACGGATGCCGTTATACATATATACATATATATATGTATAATACATACATGTATTCCTTCGTCGTTCTCTTCATGCGCGCACGTGTCCATCGGTGATCGGTAAGTGCGTCCGCGTCGATGTATACGTATTCGGGTTTGAAAATAACTTACGTACTGCAACGTAAGCAGAGATTACATTTTAAGCGAGAGTCACGTACAAATTCTTAACTCGTGTAAAAACATGTAATTTAGAACACAAAGAAAAACGGCCATTGTCTCTTTTCTCGCGACCGGTTATCTCGAAATTGTATTTTCCCGGCCTGGTGTTATTGAAAAGATTAATGGAAAGTGTGCACGACGACCCTCGCACACTTTGATTTCTCGTAATTCCTCCAAGATCGTTTTTCAAATACCCAAAAATTGGGTCTCGAGCGAGTACGGCACGGTATACGAACTGGTCTTTATTCATGCACGCGCTCGTCCGTGTCACGGCCATCCAAAGGCAGGGAGCAACAACATATATTATGCGCCAGATAGCGGAATGTTCATCAATCACACCGGAGATCTGGACCGGTCATCAAAAAATTCGGCACGACGAAAGAGCCTCTTATCGAGCGGCGTGATCGGTCACTGCTCCATCCATCCGGGCGCATTTAGTCGTAATACCTTAGACCGTATTAATAAATTTACATCTCGCACAATTTGTCACGGGAATAGAGAAAAAGACTTCGACAACCTGTTACTCGTAACGTATAAGTGACATAATGGCTGCCGGTGATGTGACACGAGAGAAAAAGCACGAAACTTTACGACGATCGTATCTCATTAATTAATTCCGGAATAAATTTGCGACAAACGATGCGCGTATAACATATACAGAAGATAATAGGTAATTTAGCATAAGTCGAGGTATAAGTGCATCACTGAGATTAATCATCCATGTTATCTAATTCGATTTGCTTTAATTTTGCTAATCTTGTCACGCGATGCACAACCAAGTGAATATTTTATAGTCTCTTTTACATCAAAAGAACTTTCGCTAAGACCCGATTTCTATCTTTGTCGTGGGATTCTTCAATTGATATTTTTATGAAACTCATCAACGTCGGCTCCCACGTACGAGGACAAAATTCCGCGAAGCGATGCGTCTTCGAGTTTCGCATCTTCGCGCGAGGGAATGGGAATCGCGGCTCACTCGAGGGTATACCGATAAGGTTCGCGACCCGCTGCATGCAGCCTCGTGTATTGAATCACCGCAGGTATACCTACTTCGCCTCTAGCCCACTTAACGTTACTACCTGTAATCGCTACAACTGTCTGATACTAAACGGCAACGAGCGGGACTGGATGACGCGAAAATAAACATTCTCCTCGGGATTGGCACTTGTTGATTGATATGAACTATAGAACGAAGAAATATTTCTCTTTTTAAATATTATTATATCCTTACAGATAAAAAAGGAGAATTAAATAAATTAAAGAAACTTTTTTGAAATATTTATGTGCGCAAAGTATCTTTAATTAAATCTTATTCGATATTTCAATTTCAATACTTTGTATGCATTTATTTTCGGTTAAGTACGCATTTATTTTAACTGTCTGTTGCACGTAAACCTGTTCGGGAATCTGTTATGTAAATTTCAAAGTATCTTGGTATTGAAAAATAAAATTTATTAAATTTAATTAGAGTGTCGGGACGAGGAATGATTAATAACGAGGTTATTAATAAGAGAGTCCATGTGAGAAATAAATTACGAATTTAAAAGCTTAACCATTGCAACGTTATATTACGATTGTTCTAATGGTTTCTATTTTGCAACAAAAAGAGAAACCCCTTGTAGAAGTAATTGTGTATGATAACAGATAATTGTCAGGCCACAGAGATATCAGTCGCGAACCACAATGCGATTCCACGGCCGTGCATAATTTTTTCGCCGAACGCCGAGTGCGCGTGATGGCATTTGCAATTTAATTTCCAAGCGGCACATTCGTAATTCATATCCCGCCCGCGTTTATCCATCCCGATTGAGTTACTACGACGGACAATTAACGAGAGACATCCGTTATCGCGATTATTTCACGAAGCGATGAGCTACGCCGCAAATATATGTAGACAATCTTGCAGAGAAGCGAGAAAAGAGAGAGAGAGAGACTGCGACCAATCACAGTTTCTTTCTCCGCTCGACGACATGGGCGGTCGACCTGCGTTAATTAAAATGTCAACCGAGGAAAAGGAATCACGTCCAAGGCGACGTACGTCGCTGCGACAGTTTTAAAATGGCGAAACAACGAGCGCTAAATTATACCTTTGTCTCGCTACGGAAATACAGCCATTAGGCTAACAGCTAGTTTTGTCGCGCACTGTTTTGCGGTGTGGGACGTATCCGTCTTGCAAATTTAATCATATGCTCGTTATGTAAGGATGCTAATTACCAGAGTATCAATAAAGTGGACTTTACTTTCCAGTTCTACAGCTTGTTTCGCGAGTCAGACAAGTGCGAATGACAGATCCAAGCATGGCACGTGTCATCGGGCGACAGAATCGCGTGTATGTCGCAGTGCAAACAGCTCGATTTGTGTCGATATGTACACCGAAACCCACCAACGGATGTTCGCTTAATTGTAGCATCTTGCCTCCGCGCGGCTATTAGCCGGCGAGACGAGCATCGGTCGGCCGCAATAACGGCGGTGCACGGCGAGATGTATTGTGCAAGTGTGCGTACTATGTAGGAGTACCTTGGGCACCGGGCGAGATATGCCTTTCACATAACTGTGAGTAAATGCCAGGCCGCAACCGCGTGCGCTGGCGGCTCTCCGTGCTCCACCTCCCAGATGAGACCTATCCTCTATCTATCCCGTCGAGCAATAAGCGATAAACTTGTTCTCGACGCTCTGTTATATCGAAAAGCTACAATTTTGACCCATTATCCGCTCGCATGACCGCGGACGACTTTAATCCGTCGGTCCTCTCTACTGGCGCCGCGCGCCGTCTTCGTAAAGCAGTTTCTAACGGTCATGTAAATTATTATGAAATTGTATAATCGTTACTGACGATTCCATTGTAATAAATGAGTTATTAACGTGACAGGATTGCCTTGAGATCTTGACGAAGATGCCGCAGAGAGAGCTTAACTGTATCTCTTGGATCTCATTATAATGGACTCAGATTGAACGAGACTTTTAATTCTCAATCAATGTCCATTACGTGTAATTCAACGTTTAACGAGATTTTACGAACTTAATATGAAACCCAGACGTACCGTTCGCTGTAATCAGATTTCATGAAGTTATGGAATCTTGCTCTCTCACAGATAGCCTTTAAGTATTCTTATATACATAAAAAAAAATAACAACGCTAAAACTTGAGTGAGAAATTTCTCGGAGAAAGAAATTTCCAAAAAAATCTTTATTGTTTCGCGTTTATGGGTGAAAGTTTGCTTTAGCTCGTTCAATTTAATTTAGCAGATAAATGCTAATAGAAAAGTGTTAACGCCGCGCATCGAAAGTATCGGCGATGTACCGCAACGATGTCGACAAGGCTGTATCGCGGAATCGCATAGCTTCGCGCGATGCAGCTGCTGCGACGCTCGTGAAACCTCGAGGAGATCCCTGATCTTCCACGTGACGGTATTCCGCGATATCGCCATAACAATCGCGATAAACCATGCGAAATTCAGGATCGATTCCACGCAATATATGAACGTATAACAGCGCGTCGAATTAAAATTACGACCACCCCCGTCATCAGCGCGCAATTACATCGAGAAAATGACATAATCGTTATTATATTAAAATTATGTTATATTAAAAGCGTATAACCGTAATCTTAATTAAAATAATTGCGGTTCTACGACTCGAATTGTCGGCCGAACACCGGCAAGCCCAAGACACAATTCAAAACGCAACCAGCGGATGTGACATTGGCACCAAATTTTCACTTGCCTAGATCAGCGTTGGGTGACCTCAGACAAAAGTACGTGTTCCACATTCGAAATGTCACGATCGTTGCATTACGACGATGATCAGGGCAGCGATGGTGGTGAGAGCCACGGAATAACGAGTTTGATTGAAACATACATTATAAATCACATGGTGTGTCGTGCTAGCGCGATAAGATAGATAAGATTATGTGATCAATAAGACTAGAATTATACCTGAAATATTATCTTTCTTGATTTCTGTTTGCTGTACCGGATGTCTCAGAACTTCGCACTTCATTTTAATTAACGAATTTGAAATTATTTTGTCATTTAAAAAAAACGTAATTATTATATTAAATGTTAAACATCTTATTATTTAAAATAGACATAAAATCTCATAAAGAGCGCGTACATACTTTTATTTTTTTCTCTATTCGAGGAATAAAAATTAATTCACTATTAGGTATATTCAGGATATTTTATTATATAGGCGACTTCCTACATACGTTTACCATGTTGACGTCATACAACCTACATAATACGTGTAGCTAACTTATAATTTTCTTTACGACACTTGCGCAATACAAATGTCGCCTATTTCTAGAGAGACAAAGTTTTTAGATATAAAAATCTCGGATATCCTGTTATAGTTTTCGTTGCAAGTGCCTTTAATGTCACGTGAAGGCCGGCTGGACAATATAACGCACAATGAACACACACCGGATTCTGTTAATCGTGGCGCATAAAAGCGAGGGAAAGGCAAGACTAACGATAATAATTGATCGTTAATGTGCCGGCGAGCGGGTCGTTTTAATTAATTCTTTCGGAGTACGCGGCTCGCGCGATTACCCCGGATTGGCCCGGAGAACGATTATTATTAAAACGTCCTGTGGCGCACACAACCGCATAAGGATATACCCGGCGAAATTATCCTTCTCTCGAGTCGTGCGCGCCTGTCCTTTCAACGTCATGATCGTCTGACACGTGTCTACCGCAAACGAGCCTCACTTTGCTCGAGCCGAAAGTGCCGAGAGTACGCGGGAGAGAGGAAAAAAGGTATTAAAGATCTTCGAGCGACCGCAGGGTGCCGTTGACGAGAGCGCGATGTGCTTCTCTCTCGCGAATGTCGGGGAGAACCTTCGGCGGCCTTGCGCGAACACACATTGCACTAGGCACACCATGACAATGCTTAGTCAGCCTACCACTTTTATTGTCATAAAGTGCAAAAATATTTTCTAGTCTATCTATCCGAGCCTATCCATTTCGAGGCAATAGTATTATAACATTAATTCATTTGTAATCTATTTTTATTTTTAATCTTTAATGTTTTAATTTTTTCTGTAATAATTGTAAAAATAAATAATATGTTCAGATATTTCATGAGATTAAATGATACCGAACACTTTACCGCTACGTTAATTATCATTTTAAATGAAAATTTTGATATGTTTAATAATTGTTAGAAAAAGACGCTGTTCGTAACTCTTATAATATCTCATTTCTCTCATATATAACTTTTATTTACGTTCGTGATATAATTTTTACAAATCCATTGCCTCGACATGGAAAGAAAAAAAATCACTCACCGGCCGATGCGCAACAGCGGAGTTATAAGTTGTACTACCCCTGCGTTGATCTGTAACATAGAAATATTTTTACATTGAAGCAGTGTGTAAAATAATCGAGACTTAAAGTAAATAATGATCGCGCCCGAATGAATTTTCAAAACGTTATTTTAACTGACATCTGATTTTAAAATGCCAATACAAGAAACAAGCGCGCCGCAAGCGGCTGCATATTTCCACATTAATTCGTTCGCATAATTAATCCGCGAAAAACCGTGCAAGTAATATTACGACCGTGTACGAATAAGAGGGACGTGAGACATACGCGACGGAGTCGATCTCTTTTCGCGTACGCCAGAGCTCGAACTCCGGCGAAGTTGCGTCGGAGCTAGTTAAACCTCGAAAGTGGCGGAATCCGCCACGGGACAGCAAAATAATAAACAAATAATTACCTCACGGTCGCTCCGCCGTCGCCCGATGCCTCCCAGGCCCCCTCCTCCTCTCCTCGGACCTCCACCGATGTCGCATCTCCGTCGACGCACTCACTCACTCGTTCACTCGACACACGCGTGAAAATATCGTCACTTATGATCGCGCGACACTTTTGACACTTTGCACGGCACTCCCGGTATTAATCTCGCGACGCGACGCGTACTTAATTACACGGCGACGAAAGAATTACGTCGGAGAAGCTACGAACGAAGCAACGCGATCCGCTCGACGCCCCGTCGGCCCGTGACGTTCCGCAGCCTCCGCAGGTAGAGACGCTAACATGGCGGAAAGAATTTCGTTAATCGCGCGGCCAACTTCACTCGCCACTCTCGACAGGAGCAACCGTCGCGTCGCGAGGACGCTACACTTGCTGCATGTAATGAGGCGATTTTGGTTAAAGCGAGGAGCACACACTTTTGCACAACACATAATGCGTAAGCATAAGAAAATTGATTTGTCTATTTCCTTATGCACATGTATATGGACCAATCAATTTTCTTATGCTTATACGGATTATGCGTTGTGCAGAAGTGTGTGCTCCCCGCTTAACTGCAATTAATGTCATTGGTTAACTGCGATTTATGAACACTGCGTCTATCCCCCACGATTACTACACATCAAAACACTATTAAAATAGTTAAACGTAGTACGACGTTAATGGACTGTGATCATTGAACGTGATAATTAAACACGTCGCGGCGTCACTCAATTTAGAATCCGCTCGTATCTTTTATTCGTGTTCCGAAAACGATTACAACTTTATTCTGAAAACCGCACGAACATTGCACGACGCGGGTCAAGTTGACGATGACGATTGAGAAAAGCGAGATCGATCGTCCGAAAAAATGTAATCGAAAGTCACTATTATCGAATGCGATGTATCGCAGCATAAATTGCGCGAAAAACTGTGATATCTCAATACATGTGTTTCGCGGAATTAAGGGATACCGCGATATATCGCATTCGATAATATATAGTGACTTTCGATTACATTCTTTCGGATGGGTCTCGTTTTTTGTTAATCGTCAACTTGACCCGCGTCATGTTCGTGCGGTCTTCGGAATGAAATTGTAATCGTCTTCGGAACACGAATAAAGGATACGAGCTGATCCTGAAGCCCGGTCTACATAATTCGCAGTTCGCGAAACGCAAGATACGCGCACAGTCGACATGTCGACATAACCTCTACATGCAGACTGTGCGTGTGTCTGGCGTTTCGCGAACTGCGAATTATGTAAGACCGGGGTTAAATTGAGTGACCCCGCGACGTGTTTAATTAACGATCACAGTCTATTAACATTACACGTTTTAACTTCATATTTAATAAATAGTGTTTTAATATGTAGCGATTGTAGAAGACAGTGTTCATAAATCGATGATTTAATTGCGGTTAACCAAAATCGCCTCGTTACATGCAGCATGCAGCAAGTGTAGCGTCCTCACGACGCGACGAGACACGTCGTGCTCCTGACGAGTGAAGTTGGCCGCGCGATTAACGAAATTCTTTCCGCCATGTTAGCGTCTCTACCTGCGGAGGCTGCGGAACGTCACGGACCGACGGGGCGTCGAGCGGATCGCGTTGCTGCGTTCGTAGCTTCTCCGACGTAATTCTTTCGTCGCCGTGTAATTAAGTACGAGCCGCGTCGCGAGATTAATACCGGGAGTGCCGTGCAAAGTGTCAAAAGTGTCGCGCGATCATAAGTGACGATATTTTCACGCGTGTGTGAGTCGAGTGAACGAGTGAGTGAGTGCGTCGACGGAGATGCGACATCGGTGGAGGTCCGAGGAGAGGAGGAGGGGGCCTGGGAGGCATCGGGCAACGGCGGAGCGACCGTGAGGTAATTATTTGTTTATTATTTTGCTGTCCCGTGACGGATTCCGCCACTTTCGAGGTTTAACTCCGACGCAACTTCGCCGGAGTTCGAGCTCTGGCATACGCGAAAAGAGATCGAGCTCCGTCGCGTACGTCTCATATCCCTCTCATTCGTACGGTCGTAATAATACTTGCGCGGTTTTTCGCGGATTAATTATGCGAACGAATTAATGTGGAAATATGCAGCCGCTTGCGGCGCGCTTGTTTCCTGCATTACACTGAGAAAAAAAATTGTTAATTCCAAGAAATATTTAGTTCGATACGTTCAACTAAACATTTTAGTTAGTTAACTAAATATTGGTTGTTTCCACAATTTATTTCGTTTCTTTAATCAAGAATTAATTAATTCAACTAATGTTTAGTTAACTAACTAAAATGTTTAGTTGAACGTATCGAACTAAATATTTCTTGGGATTGACAAATTTTTTTTCTCAGAGATAGCATTTTAAAATCAGATATCAGTTAAAATAACGTTTTGAAAATTCATTCGGGCGCGATCATTATGTACTTTAAGTCTCGATTATTTTACACACTGCTTCAATGTAAAAATATTTCTATGTTACAGATCAACGCAGGGCTACAACTTATAACTCCGCTGTTGCGCATCGGCCGGTGAGTGATTTTTTCTTTCCATGTCGTGGCAATGGATTTGTACGACAATACGGAATTCGCATCGAACCTACGTTTCTTTGTTTACCTGCGTACTCCGGTCGGAGTTTTTACGAAAGAATGGCCAACACGTCAAATGTGCATGGCTGATAGCCATCACGAAACTGGCTCTCCGTGATGAATTCGACGAAAAGAAACAGGAAGTTTCTTATTGAAAGACAGAGATTGAGGAAATAGCGAGTAATATCCTTGAAATAATACCGGCTAATAATATAGAAATTTATTTGCAAAACAATTGTGCGCGCGTTCAGGGACAAAAGTAATATATTTTTATATAAAATACACGAGTACTAAACATATACTTAAATAACTTCTTTAAAAAAAAAAACTGTCGGACGAATTTCATTTGTATAGTTTGAGAGACCAGTCAGCTGAGTAGGCTGGTTTCTCAGTTGTTCTTAAGTGCAAGTACGGCACAGCCTTTCACGATCACGAGCGCAATTCGTGCAATCATACTTACCTTCAACCGCACCGTACTCGCTCCGTATGCGAAATGCGTTTCTACCGTGTCGGTGGCTAAACGTCCCTCTTCTTGCTCTGCTTTCCTGACGTAATCGCGCAAGGCCGCGACGAAGAAATCGCTCCGAGCGGCACTTATAAAACACTTAGACTAACTAATTCTCAATACCCGGCGATATCATAACAGACGCGTATCGCATTACCATAATCAACTCCGAAATCGGATCGCATTTATGATTTCCGAATACCAGTAACTGATGAATTAAATTGATGAATTAAAAGAGAGATTCTTAACTTCAAATCTTGTAACAAAATTCGAATACCCGATAGTACTTATCGAGTGTCTAAATTCAATCCACGCATATTATTTATCTTTTTGTCATTATATACAAGTTAAATTATCTATGTATAGAAATTGTTATTGTTATATATGGAAATGTTCATCCATCATATCAGTATTTTTTGGCTACATTTTTAACTCCGGTTGTATACGCATTTACCACTCGTTCTCGCTTACTCCGATAATTGCCGCTCCCTCGTCGTCCAAGTTGCCGAGGATCGACGAAGGGGTACGGCAAGTTGATAGCAGGCTACTTGCCAATTCTCGTGCACCGACCAGCACAATAATCGTTTATCGCTTCATTCGCCGACCATTATAAGCAAGCACCATCGGTAATAACGTCTCCCGCTGCGACCATATATCGTCCTGCCAGAGTTACACCGCTACGGATATCGAACGGCGAACGATTTATTAACCCCCCTATCGGCTCCGTTTTCGCGATATCGTATCCCGAGTAATTACCTGATGAGTCTATAATGCAACGTAATCAACCTGTCACGAGCACGCGGAATAAAAAAGTAAACGGCGGCGCCTCCGCCTCCGCCGTCGTTGTGATGAATGCGAATTTCTTTATTATTCAATCGCGCCGGATTATTATACCAACTTTGTTTACACGCGCGCGCATAAATTCACCGTCGCGTGTATACCACGCGCGACGTTTGTCTCTCCGATATAAATAAAATATGGCATGCGTTTTTTTTTCTTTTGGTTCTTCTCTGCCTCTCTTATACCTCGCATAATATCCATATTTAATATCTCATTACTAGCACAAGACACGTTTCGGCCGTTTTATATTATGCTTCAGAACGTGTTCCGTAATTTGTATTACACGGTAGACGTGGAAAGTAATTCTCAATTTCAGAATTATTCTTAAGGCTCGCGCAGTTATATCGAAATAATGATAAATTTGCTGCTTTCACAAGTCCACAAATAAGAAACGATTGGGCTAATTGGGTCTTGTCATATTTTATATAAACTCTAAGATTTATTATTTCTCTCTATGTCTTGAAATAAAAAAAATATTTTCCAAGCACATATTCAGTAATCTTCAGGCTTATTTAAAGACTTACTGATATGTTTTGAACGAGAAGAATATTAAAATACAGTCGAAGATAATTATTAAACTTCGCAAGTCACTGTCTCAGATTTTAAAGCCCTGCTATCGCCACATCGAAGTATATTTTTATTAGTTTTAAATTGGCGGAATCTTCTTTCCACATTCAAACAAAAAAAAAAGTACAAACTTTTCTTCACGTAATCGGCCGTAATTTCTGAACTTTCACTTTCGGAGGTAACGCCTCGCGTATCGATCGCAGACGAAAGAATATAACTCCGGTTCCTACCGCAAATCGATCTGCGAACGAGTTGGCATTTTCGTTCTCAATACGGTGCAAAAATGTTTCCGTAAAATTTTTGCGCGATGTTAGGCAATCGCAAGAACGACCACTATATCGAAATTATAAAAAAAAAATTGCATCGTTGCACGGAGCACAGTGATGTCTGTGTGCAGCAAGTAGAATAGATAATAAACTCAGGCATGTTTTTATTACGATCGTGTCGGAAAACGATCGTAATAAGCATATCTGCACGGTAAATGCACACGAGTTTATGGTTTACAACATTCTGTGTTAAATCTTTATTAAAGAAACGTAACAAATAAAATGTAACGTGTCCGAGAGCTATTTGAAATAGCTTCCTCTGCTGTTCCGATTCGACTTGACCGTGTTACTTACCGCATCATTTTCATCTGTCGGTGATGTCCATTCTGCCGTCGAACTTCGCGCGAACGTCGCGCACGAGAATCCAAACATACGCCCACGTACAAGGAAGTCATTAGAATGATGTATCTGATGCGAGGCGCCACAACTCGACTCAATGACCCGAATACTTTCGATACACGCGTGCCCGTTACTTTCTTATATACACCAGGACTCCTCCGTGACACTGTATAATCTTGCGATTATCCAACACTGAAGAAAGAGTATACGCGTAAGTGTTTTCGAAAACGTCATGCGTTTTCTCTTCGATTCTTAATAACGGGAGATTTTATTTGCTCTATTAGGCAACCTGCTCTCAAAGTCAGAATAGAATTACGATGATATCTAGGTCCAGGTATATATGCGCAAGATCTGTGCGCAAACATGTCGGAGAAAAATCATTTTTCGCAATTAAAGCATTTCATATACGATATAGTTGCAAAAACTAATAAACACTTAAGTCTGTGATGAGATATTGTTTTTTTCGGGTTGACTGGTGTTCCTCAAATTATATTTTGCACATCTCAGCGAACGTAAATTGCGTTGCATTTCAGCGTGATATAATGAATTGGAGAAATTCAATTTTGAATTTAACAAAAAATTATAAATTATTAAGAACATTTGTACCTAGTGTTTTGCGCAGAAAATAAATGAAAATTTGAACACTAATTTCCGTAATTTCCAAATATAATTACTAATACCAATTGTACAATTTAACAATAATGCCTTCGACAATATTAAGCGATTTCTATGGAACCTGCGTTACGTAAACTACTGCAAACACGGTAGTTACATATCGATATTTTTTTCCCGAGCTTGCTTAATACAATTTCGCTTAAAAATCTCGCGGTTTCTTTTGGGCGTCGCGCTTGTCATATCGCGCTTATAAAACGCGTGAACGCGTTCTTATGTAATTTATTTAGAAGCTGCGTGTGGGAGGGCGTATTTATAAGACCAGCGACTCGGAGTACGAAATTACGCCACTATGTTCATTGTGTAAGTATTGTCGACATATACGCAAGCTAGTTAAACTTTCGCTTAACGGACACTGAAAACTGACCCTTGACTGTCTCGGCGATAGAATGCGCGATAAATCTGCTACCGATATCTGATACCGATCGAAGGATACGGTCGATGCAAAAAATATGTCAAACAGGTTAACAGCACAGACTATACGTTCTCCACAGTAAATAACGTAGATTCCGAAAAGTATTTGGATCACAAGATGGGCATCAATTGATTCTCACACTGTTAAATTCGTAGTTTCAAATTGTACTCAATTTGAGTCATTTTTAACCATTTCTATAAGTCAATTAATAATATGTCTACCTTAATATGTTCATCTTACCGTGATCACTGAAATTAATTGCAAGTAAGAATTCAAGAAGACGCGGTGATTTAGGGAAAGTAGTTTCGAATAAAATTGTGAGGAAAATTCTTTGCAAAGCATGCGATATATGATGTAATCGTATATGAAAAACTGATAAGTGCGGAAGATAAACACTGATGAAAATGTGCGTACCGCATCTCGATATTGAACAAATCTCATAAAAAAATCTATGAATGACATATCCTGATATGCTCGTTGCAAATAGAACATAAGTAATGCGTCGTAAATATAAGTTATGGATAGTTTCAGCTTCGCGCGTTATCTTGACTCCTACGGATCGATAGGATAGCGATTCGTAACGCGCTTCTCGCGTCATAATTTAACCGGTAAGAAGCGTGAGAAACTGAGAACATCATGTAATTCCATGTTGTACCAAGATGTTTGCACGCAAATGTTGTCGTACTAAAATTTAATCCTAGAATTATTACGATCATAACCTTGGAAACTTTCTAAAATATACAGATTTTTGTTAAACATAAAGAGTTACGTGAAATGATAAGATGTAAGTTTAAGTATAAAACGAAGCGTGATAAAATAGGTATGTTTTAACAAGATATTTGTCAGACAATAAATATTTGAAGATAAAAAACATAATATTCGTGTACTGAGTGTGCTCGAGAAAACGCGCAACAGAATTACAATATATCTGTTGAAATAAATTAGAATTGATATGTGTCTTAATTTAAATCTGATTGTAATTAGACAAAATATTGCATCAAGTTAAAAGAAATTCTATATTCCTATTATAATCAAACTTTAAACTTTATATCTAAATTAATATAAAGTAAATTTTATTGTTTATTTCAAGGTTAAAATTACTGAGATTACGAATTGTGTATTGAATATTATTAAGTGTGATAACATTTGAACTTGTACTAACGTTTTCTAACGGAAAATTGATAGTTCATGAAGATAACTATTTCTTTTACACTTCTGCTGTTCACTCCGTATAATGTCTTAAGATTTATACGATACACTTGCATACCACACCCAGTCG